AGAGATGAGGTCTCGCTGCCCAGGCGGGTCTCGAACCCGCGGGTTCAGGTAATTCACTCATCTCAGCCTCCCAAAGGCGCGGGATTACAGGCTGAGCCACTGAGCCCGGCTGAACACTTTTCATAGGTGTATTTTTATCTGGATTTTCTCTTTGTTAAAGGACCACCCAAGTTTTGCTCACTTTTCTAATGAGTTGTTTGTATTTATTTTTATTGCTTTGTAAAAGTTTTTTTTTAATGTAGCCTGCAAATATGTGATGGAAATATTATACTATAAAATCACACACATGGAAAATTCATTGATTACAATGATTTTTTTTTTTTTTTGAGTTGGAATCTTACTCTGTCATCCAGACTGGAGTGCAGCTGCACGCTCTTGGCCACCGCAGCCTTGACTTGCTGGGCTCCAGCAATCCTTTGCCTCAGCCTTCCAAGTAGTCAGAACCACAGGCGTATGCTACCACACCTGGCTAATTTTTGGTTTATTGTAGAGATGAACCTGCGGGCTCAGGCAGTCCACTCGCCTCGGCCTCTCAGAGTGCTGGGATTACAGGCTGAGCCACCAAGCCCGGCCAATTTTTTTTTATTCTTTACCTTTGTACTAAGAAGCAAGCAGAAAGCAGAATCATTAGATAAGACAAATCATAGTATACACTAGTTCAAATTAATCCTCTCCTTCTCTTCTCCCCAGGTGTTATCATTGTCCCCAGTGCTGGTGTTGGTATTGTCCTAGGAGGCTACATCATAAAAAAGTTGAAACTTGGTGCCAGAGAATCTGCAAAACTAGCAATGATCTGCAGCGGTGTGTCTCTGCTGTGTTTTTCAACCCTGTTTATTGTTGGATGTGAAAGCATTAATCTAGGAGGCATAAACATCCCTTATACAACAGGGTAAGTAGCCCTGGAGAGCCGCCCATGTCTGCATGAGTGGAGTGCTGAGCCCTGGGGTGCTTGTATAGTGATGGTCAGACTTCTGCCCTTCTGCTCAGCTGACCTCCCTGTGTGGTCTCTGTCTCCCCATGGGGAGCATGCAGACCTGAAGGGCAGAGGCCAGGGTCTTGCCTTTGTGTGTGTGTCCCTTTTGACCCTCACAGTGTGAATTTCGTAGCATTTTGATTACGGAAGATGAGGAGGAAACACTTATTGGATAAATGAAAGCTGTTCTGTTTTGGATATAGTGTTCTGACTAGGCGGTATAGTCACATAGCTCAAAAACATTGTGTTGAATGAAAATACAATATACAGCCGGGCTCGGTGGCTCAGCCTGTAATCCCGTGCCTTTGGGAGGCTGAGGTGAGTGGATTGCCTGAGCCCGCGGGTTCGAGACCCGCCTGGGCAGCGAGACCTCATCTCTACAATAAATCAAAAAATCAGCCGGGCGAGGTAGCGCGCGCCTGTAATTCTGGCTACTCGGAAGGCTGAGGCGGAAGGATCACTGGAGCCCAGCAGGTCGAGGCTGTGGTGGCCGGGAGTGGCCGCTGCACTCCAGTCTGGGCGACCCAGTGAGACTCCAACTCAAAAAGAAAAAGAAAAAAGAAAATACAATATACGATGAAAAGTCTTACTCTTACCCAAGTTCTCTATCCACCTACCTCTTCCCAATCCTTCACCCAAAGATGAAACCAGTAACCACTTTGATTCATTTTTTTGTGTATCCTTTCAGGACTTCTTTATACAAGACACTATGAATATGCATTTTTAATTTTCCCTGCCTTGTATCTAAAATATAGCATTTGTACATATTTTACTTTTTAAAAATGTAACAATATAGCTTGGAGCGCTTACTGTACCAGTAATAAATAATCGGAAGCATAGTAAACGCTTACATTTACCCTATAGCATGCCAAGTGTTTTACGTGAATTAACTCGTGAATCCTCACACAACCCTATCAGGTAGGTGCTGTTATTATCCTGATTTTACAGATGGCAAAACTGAGGTACAGGTCACATGGAACCAGTGGAAGGCTGATAAATGTTTCACAAATGACTCTAAAATAAAAAGTCCCAGTCTGTAGCATTTGTCCATTTCTGGGGTGTAAGTATTCCCACCGTGGCTGATTTCAAGCCACAAACTTGAAGACATTGAATGTCCTGTTGGGAGGAGATGACCATTATGTAATATTTCTATTATACAGATATAATAGACTTCAAAGCCCAGACAAGAGCATCGATAATAGCAAAATTATTAGAAGCTGATGAGTTTTAAGTATTTATTATCTTTATTTTTAATATCATGTATTTAATTGTATGTTTATATAATTTAATTTTTAATAATGATCGTGTAAAACAAATATAAAAATGATTGTATTAAACAAACAGTTGACAAAATTCCTGAAAATGTAACTGTAGGATCCTGTCATCCAGGGTGGCTGCCTCCAGCATAGCCAGAACCCAGGACTTAGTCCTAAGCAATTTGGCTACAGAGGCCATGCCTCTGTACTACCTTTAACCACTGTGTAGCATTTCATTTTGTAATGTAACCTTTCCCTACTTGATGGTCAGTTGACTTATTTCTAATGTTTAGTGATCAAAAAGAGTGCTGCAGTAAATAGCTTCATGCATTTATCACCTCTCTCACTTCTGCATATGTGTAGGATTTATTCCCAGAAGTGGGATTGCAATAAATACTGTGATATTACATCCAAAGGTGTTGTACCCAGTTTTATCCTCACCGGCAATGGATCTGAGTGCTCACTTCCCCACAGCCTCACCAAAAGAAGGTGGACAACTCTTCTCTGAGAGTTATGAGAACATTAACTTGTATTTCTTTCTTACATGTAGGCTTGTTGGGATCTGCTCATTTAACGGAAATTCAGTGTCCATTTTTTTGATGCTTGATGCCAACAAACATTTCTGTTTCCTTTTGGTCATCGGCGGGATTTTATGATACAAAATGTTCCACTTGACATTTGAGTAACACAAGCTTTAATTTCATTTAGTCAACTTAGATTGTGGGAGGCGAGTAGAAAGGAATGGCTAATTGGAGCTTATTTAGATTACAGGCACTCAACCGTCCTCTGTCCTGAAAGTTATTTTTCTACCAGGAGACATTGTGTGTGTGTGTGTGTGTGTGTGTGTGTGTGTGTGTGTGTGTGTGTGTGTATGATCCATGTACCAGGTATGTGCCTTCTTAATAGTGCCTGATAGAATGGCATGGAAAATAAAGTCTTGAAACATTAAAAAACAGTATAGAATAAGAGCTCAGGTTCTGCAGGCAAATCTGACTTTGAATCTTCACTCTGCTTGACTGGTTGCTTAACGTGAAGCCTATCTTCTTCTGCAAAATGAGGTGGTGTTAACAGCGATCACTTTAGAAGGTTCTAGGTGAGACTTATGTACGTAATGTGTGTAAGGCTCTCAGCTTGACACAGGGCACGCACCAGTGCTGATTGGAGGTTAGACGTTATGAGTCATTGCTAATAAGAATCATTTCTATTTCTATTGAATTAATTAATTTCATTACAATTAGAAAAGGTAAATAGAACTTAAAAGTTTGTAACAAAAATCCAGCAGTCTCCTGACTAACCCCAAGTCCCAGGGCAATAATTTTGCAATCTTTTTAGCTGTCTCTTCTGGAATGTTCCTCTATATTTTTAAGGAGTACTATCTAAATTAACGAAACTGAGACACTACTTATGACTTCTTATCTTGGCAAATTAGGAGTTCTGCTTTCCCTTCACAAATTGTGGTCAAATCCTTCTTTGATATTTTCATGTTCTGTTTATGACACGTGTATCATGATTAGATTTCCCCATTTGTACAACATTCATTTTCCTGAAATTAATAATTGCCTTATTTGCATTTAGCTTGTTTTTTTTTTTTTTAAGAATCTGTGTCTTGCTTCCCACATCCTAAGAAATATCTCAATATGATCTTCCACCTATCTAATGAACTCATGGTTCCACTTTCCCCCTTTTTAGGGTCATCTATACAGGACCCTCTGTCCCCCTGCTGTAATCTGGGCGTGATGTTTCCTGACCAGCTGCCTTGCTGTCATCCTGAGAATTCCATTTGCTTCTCTCTGTACTGATCCTTTGTTTTCTGAACCTGCAGAGTCTTCTTTTTTTGCTTTACTCCTTCATTTTGATGGAACACATACTCCAGTACCTACAACAATGCTGTATTGGCTGTAACTTTGGTTTTTTGGGGGAGATTTTATATACATATATAAATCTTTCACTTTAAATTTTTATATATATACACACACGTACACATACACACGGGGGTGCCAAAAATGTATACACATTTAAAGAGATGTTATCTATGAATTGCTTTTCCAAGTTGAATTGAATTATGGTAGCAATGTGTAGTATGAATTTAGTATGAAGTTTGCTCAACTTTTCCAAGTTGAATTGAATTATGGTAGCAATGTGTAGTATGAATTTAGTATGAAGCTTGCCATTTTCTTTGACTGTCCTGCCTGTCACATGGTGATGCCAGCATTCATTTGATTAACACCATCTTTTGAGCAAACGTCATTCTTAAAATGTGTATACAATTTTTGGCACCCCCATATATATGTGTGTGTGTGTAGTTATATATACAGTTTTACATATATGTAGTTGTATTGTCACATATATTGTTATATTTGATTGCCAAGTTGGCTGGAATTTTTGATAAATCATTTTCAGTCACAATTTTGTAGGTTTTGCTCCACCGTCATCTAAGTCCTAATGCTGTTGTAAAAGCCCGGTTTTTCTTTTTCCCAATCCTTTGTATGTGACATATTTTTTTCTTCCAGAAAGCTTTCATTTGTTCCTGGTATTCCAAAATTTCACCATGATCTATTTGGGGATATGTCACTTTTAATTTTTGCTAGGTACTTGTGAGCTTTTTGTCTGGAGACTATCCTTCAGATCTGTTTTTATATTTAATCTTTAGTTTTTCCTCTTTCCTTTGTTGATCCTCTCCTTTTCTTATTCTTTATCATTTATTTCATGTTCTTTTTTGTTCTACCTTTTAAAAAAGACTTTTTGCACTTTATCTTCCTGTCCTCCGTTGAATTCTTTATTTTGGCTATCGTATTATTAATATCCTAAATTCCTTCTTGATTTTTTATTGACCCTTGTTTCTAGATGTCTTGCTTCCTGAATGGAATATCTTCTCTTACTACTCCAATATTATTTAGATTTTCTGTTCTTTCCGATTTATCTGTGTCTAGTGAGTGCCTGCTTTCTGTTTATTATGCTGTCTTGATGGTGTTAGAAGCTTTGCTCACATTTCTGGGGATTCTTAGCTTTCTCTACGTATTGAAGAATGAGAATTTAAAAAGCGGAATAGTTGCTTTGTGAGTGTAGAGCTTGTCATCTGGTAGATCTCACAGCAGGGCCATCTTCCTCTAGGGGTTGGATCCAGCTGGCATTCTCATCAGGGTACTCCAGTATTGGGACCAGAGGTGCTTCAGAGTCTCAAGAGATGGATTCTCCTGTCTGTTGGCTGGGGCCCTGTTGGGGTGGGCTTCTGGGCTGTAAGCATAGCTGCTCGCATTGGAGAGCTGAGAGTGAAGGGTGGAGGAAGAGGGGTTGGGTCTTCATGTTCACGCTGCAGGCTTTTACCCGATTTCCCTGTCATCGTCCTAGCATCTCACCAAAGGTCTCTTTCATGTGTGGCTCATAAGTTCAGAGCCTATTGATTTATTTTCTCTAGAAAACAGGGAGCGTGAGGGAAGGAGCGGTCGCCTAAGTGGGGTGAGATGGGACTTTGCATAAAGTTATGTCATGTTTGAACCGCATCTTTCTTGTGCTATTGCTTTTGAGTTCTAAAGGCCTGTTCTTCTTTCTCTTACTATTTGCCTTTATTATGCTCATATATTTTTTAAACTATATATGCTTTTACTATGCCCATATGCCCATATATTTCTCAATCACACTTTCTCGTTGATTGAATCCTGC